GAGGCTAATATGGGTTTTGTAGGAGGGTCGTCTGACACCTCCCTCTTGATCTATTACACCGATCATGTCGCTTGATATGTTTCAGAGGGACATGTATATTAATTTTTGTTACACTTTTCATTTTAATGATTTATGCACTAATATGTTAAAATTGATATTAATTATTTATCTTTATAGGAACGACGGCCACTAAAGTGCGTAAACCACACGCGGAAGATATCTGAGTTGTATCACCCTTATGAGGATTGGTTTAGAGAGGCCATTTTTGCCTCCGGGCTTGTCGGCCTTTATTGTTATGGTTATAACACCATCAGCCATGTCATGCCTGGGGCATTTGTTGAGAGGTGGCACAAGGAGACGTCATCTTTCCACTCGCCTATTGGGAATATGACGATCATACTTAATGATGTCGCCTACCTACTACACCTTTCTATCAGAGGGAGATTACTTAACCACTCTCGGATCGATCGTAGTGATGCGATTTAATGGATGGTCGACTATTTAGAAGCTGGACCAAAAGAGACATTTAAGTAGTGTTCCTCCACCAATGGGGCTCATGCCAAGTTCTCAGTCCTTAAGGAGTTATATCACTAGCACCTCTCTGCGGCAGTTGATTCTCAGTTAGAGAGAGACGACTTCTTTGTTCTTTATCATCGTCAGTATGCTCTGAGGTGTTACTTCATGTTCTTGGTTGACACATCCATTTTTGTGGACAAAAGAACAAACTACGTGGATGTAGCATACCTCTAGTACTTCATGGATTTGAATACAATGAGGGAGTGGAATTGGGAGACCGACTGTTTGGCATACATGTACCAAAAGTTAAATTAAGCCTCTAATTGGAGGACACGGCAGCTGACACACTCTACTACACTACTGACGATAATTATCATTCCAACTATTAAATTTAATTTACTATTAATAACTATAATTTTTTCTTACATGAATCTTATTCATTTTTCAGGGATGAATCATTTCACACTTCCACCGCATCCATGGTTTCGATTATGCTCTGGATTATATTGAGGACACGTCGAGGGCTCCTTGGTATGCCCCCCCACAGAGGAAACCAGGTTGTGTTGCCGTTCTAAGTGTATCTGGATAGGACGATCCATGATTACATCCTATGGAAGTTGTTCGAGGATCACCGGGAGACTATCCAGTTCGACTCCATCTCATTGTACTTTGGGTGGCTGACATGTGGGACTAACACTACGGTCAGGTATCTGTCGGAGTGATGCATGCGGTAGTTTAGCTATGTGCAGACCATACCCAGATCTTCCTTTCAGAATGCTCTCGACACCATTGTCCGTCGGGAGTTCGATGGCATATTTCAGGACTGTGAGCATTATTTGGTGTTAGAGGAGTGTCAGATGATGCAAACATCCAATAATTGACACTGTGTTGAGGGATACATGACATGATTCTACACAGTGTAACATTCTATCATGACACTGGATGCTCCTGGACGTCCATCTAGGCTAGCTCATGAGGAGATCTTAGAGATTCAGCTGGCCGAGGATGACCATGTCATTGATCTCTTATCGATCTGTCAGTGGATACAGATGATTGGGCGGAAGACTTTGGACATAAGTATCATTGATTGGGGCGGTCTTGGGATGGTGGCCTTTGTAGAGAGGATGGTTGGGGAGGCAGAAAGTGTTGCGGGATATAGTAGACAGAGGAGGGGCTAGGGAGTGAGGATCAAGTGTACGCAGTAGGCTATGCTTTTTTATTTATTTCAGAACAATTTATGAACAATTCTTGTATTTTTTATTTTACACAATTTATTGTATTATCGTTTTTCATTTGCGTTTTTATTGTATTATCATATTATTGTATTATTGTTTTTTATGTCTTATCATTTTTCATTTGTGTTTTTATTATCATTTTCATCTAATTATTTATGAACACAATGATGTTTTTAAAAAAAATCACTATTCAGGGTTTCAGTGCTGCATCTTCAAAAGAGCCAAGTCAGGGTGTTTCAGAGATGCACCTCTGAAAATATCATTGCATGCTTAAATATAACGTCAAAGTCCAAACAAATTGTGTTCGAAGATGAATCTCTAAAACACTCTAATTTAAGATACGTTCGAAGATGCATCTCTGAAAAGTATTTTTGAGTTTTCAGGAGTTTTTCTCCACCCATAAGAAGAGTTCAAAGAAATTCTCAATTGCAGCTTCTAGGGAATTATACCTACACCCTTATAATTATGCATACTTATCTTTTCTATAGATTCAATCTACTAAAAATAATTTTATCTAAGACTATCTACAATAGTTACATATTTAACACCTTTTTTTACTTTTTATACTTTACACCATCTTCTCTTTCTTTCACCTAATAATTCAACACGCAATCAACTTTTACTCACTACAATAATTTTACTTAATAAAATTTAACACTCTACTCCATCACTTTTATTTTATTTTTTTATTTTTTTTTTATATTTTTGTTTTTATGATTTTATGTTAATATCAATTATCGATTGAAATGAAATTAAAATAATTAAGAATTAAATAATTTATTTTAGTTTTTTTAATTTAATAACTTATTTGAATTTTTTTAATTTTATATTCTTAATTTCTTTGAATTTTTTTTCTAATTGTATAGAGATAGTCATTATTAAAACAAATAAAAATGAATAAAACAAGAATCTATTGTAGGTTGAATAGAAAAAATAGAGAAAAAAGTAGATTTTTTTATGTGTCTGAATCAAATGAACCAAATCTTTATTTATAAAAAAAAAAAATGAATTTTGGTGAAAATATATAAAAAATTAATTTATTATAAAATAATTGATTCCAAATAATTATGATGAGTTAAAAATCTAAACAACCACAACAACCTATAAAATTTTACAAAATATTATATGTGATCTGACTCCTTTCTCATTTAACATATTAAATATTTTCAATACATATTAATTCATCTCACTTTAACTTTTTATTCAACACTTAGTTACACCTATTCAACTATTAAATAATTTTTTAATATTCTCATTGTACATTGGCTAAGCATCTCCTAACACTGAATATAAAACTATTTTTTATTTAGATTTGAACGTTAACTAGATTGAAGAAAATGAAAGTCTTTAATTAGTGTCATGATTCAAATGCTAGCTGGCCTTTATTATTACTACTATTAGACCCTACCCCTCTTGTGTGATTTAAATATACAATTAAAGCTACTGCGACCATATTATCAATGCCCAAGTAAATGTATCAAGTTTGAAGTCGACGCATGCACTGGCACAATGGTAATGAAAATTCAGGACTCATATTACGTCATTTACACTTCAATAGAAGCAATCTATCAAAAAAAACAAAGTAAATAAATGTAAGTTCATCCATAGTAATTACGTAAAACAATACGTACTAATTACACAAAAAATAATTAGTGCTGTACAAAGCACTGATTAATAATGTATTTAACTCAAATTAAGTCATTTAAATTGTTATTACTTATTAGTAGGGGTGTTCAAAACCAAACTGGCCCAATAAAAAATCGTAAAATCGAACCGAACCAAATCGAAACCGCAAAAAATCGTATTTAGTTAGGATGCGTTTGGGTCATTTTCTCACGGAACCGTACGGTTCAGTTCGGTTTGCAGTTTGTATTTTACAAACCGAACCAAACCAAACAAAACCGCATTATGTTATAAAATCTTACTAATCAATATATATTTCTTTAATTCTTTAGAGAAATCAACATGTATTATGTTTATATTTTATCATACTTTGTATTATATTTATTTTAATTTACAAATCATAAAAAAATAAAATATTATTCATTTATAAATACTATTTTCACAAAATATATTTTATTGTATTCTTCGTATAATATTTATTTAAGAATGCAATCTTGTCTATATTATTCTTTAGATTTAGATAAAATTATAATACGTAATTTTATGTATCAAATTATAAACTTATTTTGACAATTATAAATTTTTTTATGGTAATGTATGAATAATTAAATGCAAAATTATATTTTCCTCTATATTTATATGTATGGCTTAATAATTTTTTTTTATAAAAAACTGAACCAACCGAACCAATTTAAACCGCATTAACTTGGTTTGGTTTGGTTCGGATTTATTTTTAAAATCTAACCGAACCAAACCAAACCGCATGTTTTTTTCTCTTACGGATTGAATAATTTTTTGCGTCAAAACTGCCCAAAGTGCACCGCAAACACCCCTACTTATTAGTAATAAAAAAACAAGTGTTGTGGCAAGTGGCAAGTATATTAGTTACATTGGAAAATACAATGATGTCAGAATAAAAAGTTTCTATTCTCATCTTCATTGAAATTCATTAAACCATCTGTCCCTATTATTATAAAATTTCAAATCCCGATGCCAATATTTTCCCACCAGTGTGACCACCATCTCATCGCAGTACTCAAAACTAAGCATTTACTTTGACTATATCCTATACGCCAAAACTTAACTCAACCTACCTTACACACACTGCATGGATACAGATCCTAATCCATTGTGTATGAGTGTATTCTGTACACTAAACACAACATGGTCCATGAATAATGGAAAATTAAACTTGTGGTTTTAATTGCAATAAAATATTTACAAATCAAGTTTTGGATACACTGCAGTGTTAAATATCTTGATTTAGAGATTTATCATAATTTGTGGCCCTCTAGTTCATTAATCAAGGTAATGCATTAGTAATATTGTGCCTGCAATTTTGACTGGGATTGCAATAAAACCATGAGAGAGATATTAAAATCCTTAATAAGAATCATTAGATGACAGAAAATGAAATTTAAAACCTTTGTTTTTCTTCAACTAGGACAAACAAAAGTTCCATTTTTTACACTTGGATCAGAATAACCAAAACATGCATCACAATACAACGTTAGCAGCTTCATAGTACTAATATCATAGCTAGACTACATTCAACCTAATACATAGCACATAGCACAGCTATTTACACAAGTATTTGGTTAACTAAAACATTTCCAACAGAAACAGTTAATATTCACGTGGCTTACGGGTACGGTTGGTATGAGCCCTCTTATCAGAAACACCATTCCAAATCTCAGTAAAAGCTCTAACAATAACACCATGGTGATAAGGTGCATTCAGCTGAAGAAAACAGTTGAGAAGCTCTCTAAGATCATCCTTAGAGTATATTTCATTCTCCAATATCATTTGAAGCATGGAGTGTCTGAAGTCAAGATAAGGGTCTTCAGAGTCTTTCTCAACAGCCACACCTTCTCCTCCTCCACCTCTTCCTAAGCCTCCTACTCTTCTCTGGTCCTTTGCGTAGGTTTCAGAGTCAGAAAGGTTTGATGAGTAGAGAGGTGAAAATGTGGTGGCAGTGTTGGTGTTGGTGGTGTTGGTGGTGCTTGTAGTGTCGTATTTGTCTTCATTCCAAGGACCTGAGGAGGAAGTAGAGTAGTGGTTGTTGTAAAGTTTGTGTTTTTGGTAAGTGGGGTTTTTGGGTTTTGGTTTTGGGTTGAAAATGTTGCTTAGCTTCAGTCTTCTGCAGCTTCCACAGCCTAGTTTGACAGACACTGTGTTCAGGAGAACCTTCTTCCTGGAGCTAGACATTGCTGTTTTTGTGACAGTTTGAGAAAGGATATGAAAAAAGAGAGAAATGGAGGAAACTTGCCTAAGTCAAAGGGTGTATGTAGGATAGTGTTGGTAAAGAAAGTGGGTTTTGTATTTATGGAGATAGGCATCTATAACAAGGTTTTAATGTTAGTTTTGCATGTGAACTAATAAAGGAAGCTCTAATTTGCTTGGTTAACTTTGTGTACAACAAAGTTATGTGGACCCTTGATTTTTTTTTTTGGAGTAAATGTTTGTAATGTTAATAAAAATTAAAAACTTGGTAATAGGTGGTATAGATTGATTAATCTGAAAGAATCAATCTCAATATCCAATAGAAACTATTTAAAAACTAAAACAAAGTTATGTATCGGCTGATTCAACACAGAGTTAGTTAGTATTTAATGGGATTTGAAATTTAAATTATAACTGGAGCACATTCTCAAATTTTAATTCATCATCAATTGGTCAATTTCATGCTTTTAGTTAATGTTAAATGATTTGTCGTATTTTTTGATCTCGTATGTTAATTTTGAAAGCATTTTTGTCTTTTAAATTAAAAAATATATATCATATGAATTTTTTAACTTTCAAAACATATCATCTAGAATCATACCATGTTACTTCTTTTCTTTTAGTTAGAAACCAATTTCGAAGGTTTTCAGCCGATAATCAAACAAAACAAAAAAAGTCACATCATCATATGTTTTTCAAGTGTTAACATATTAATGATGAAGTCCAAAAATGACCCCAAAGATAAATGGATAAGAAAATAGTGAGGTCTTTGCTGCTACCTATAAAATTTGGGAGTAATTTATTCTCAATGATATATCGATAAAATTTTATCATATAAAATTAATTTTTAAAATTATATATTAATTTAAAATTTTAAATATTAAATTTATATCTTTTCTCATTTAAAAAAATTTAATATCCTCTTTTTGCATCTAATGTAAAAATCATTACTCATACTTGACATATCAACATTTTACTACTCAAAAATTAAATTATATATTATTTTTTTGATTTTATTTTGATTCTTTAAAATTTTAAATTAATATATAATTTTAAATTTTTACTTTATATAATAAATTCTGATATATATATATATATATATATATATATATATATATATATATATATATATATATATATATATATATATATATATATATATATATATATATATATATATATATATATATATATATATATAGAGTAAGAGATAAATTACTCATAAATTTAGGTAGCCAAATTATTAAGCAATGTCAAATTGCCTCACATTTAAAAGTCAAAGTGACTTAATAATTTTAGTATTTTATTTTTGAGAATAAGAGGCATTTAAGGTTAAGAGCATTGCATTAAATGATTATTTAGATGGGTCATTTGACTTGCTAATGTGATAGGTTTTGATTTGGGAAATAATAAATGGCTACTTAACTATGAATTAAATATGAGATTTGGAAGATCTTGTCTTTAATAACAAGCGTAGGAACTGATATGTAGCAGAGTAAGGATCTTAGAATTAAATTTTGAGGCATTTTTTATATTTTTATAACAACACAAATTTATACAAGAGAATTGATATTTTTACACTTAAAATTGACATTTACACCATATTTTTATCCGGTTTTGTTTTTTAAATATTTAATAATTATTTTAGGAGGCAGGCTAGCTTCACACTTATTTTCTATACTGTACTTACATTTATACAGTTTACTGAATTTATACAATGAACAGTATTTTTTTAATAAAATAATATTATTTTAAAAAAGATAATTATTTTTTAAATTTATTTTATAACACAATTATAAGATTGTGTCATTAATCAATTTTACAATTGAATTAACCACAAAATTATATATTATTAATAAATTATTTTATTTATAATTTATTAATCACTTTCACTATTTTATTAATCAATAAAATATATATTATTAATTATATTATTAACTAATAAAATATATATTATTAATCATATTCTGATACTAAATTATAAATATATTAACTAATTTTTATATTTTATTAATTAATTTTATTTTATTATTTAATATTATTTTACATTTAAGAATTTATTAATCAAGTTATGATTGGATTAACTAATTTTATATATAACATTAATCAGAGTCTGAATATATATATATATATATATATATATATATATATATATATATATATATATATATATATATATATATATATATATATATATATATATATATATATATATATATATTAAATTTTTAATATTAAAATATATATTAATCAAACTTTATATTATATTAATTAAGTTTTAATATTTCATTAATCAAAATAATTTTTAAAAAAAATATATTAAAAAATCAAAATAATGTATATATACTGTTTACGTACTTGTGAATAATATATACAGTGAAATGTCAAAATAGATGTTAAAATAATATTTTTGTTTTTCTTTCTTTTGGACACGCAACAACAAATGCATATGTTGTATTAGTATACGGTGCAGAGGTAAAATCTTTTGTTTTGGTGTAAAAATGAATATCTTTTGGTGTAAAAATGAATATCGTTTTTGTTTTGTATTTTAAAGATATTTGTTAATACTTTAAGACTCAATTTCAAATGAAAAATAATATTTGTAGAGTCAATGTGTTGTTTATTTTAATTTCCATTTGAAATAAAATTTAATTTAGTTTTTTAACAACTACTTTAACTGTTTTCAAACACAATCTAATCTGAAGAATATTTTTTAATCAACCCAACTTACAATCAGCCATCACATCACCATAGTATCTAAGAATCAAAGTATCAAATTTTACGAGATTCATTTTCTTTTTATTTTTTTTATTCATACGATCAGTGTTATCGATCATCCATGGAACTCCACCATGCACCAATACGATCAGATTTTGAGGGCATGAGTAACCGACTATTTGAAAGCGGATCTTTCAGATATGCTGATCTGACAGATTTCATGGATCCTGAACGCATTGACTTTGCAGAACTTTCGACTCAGCTGCAAGAGAAAAACTGTCAAGACGCACCACGAATTAAGCGAGGACGCGGATGCGAAACCACGAATCATTATCGAGTCCCGAGAAACAACTAAATAATATATAATTTTTATTCATATTATATAATCGTTTCATTATTATTGAAAATCAAAATTTCATTTGCGACACCATTGTCTTTTATTTTTTTAACAAAAAAAATTATTTAAAAAAAAAAATAGCACCTAGACGTCATCTGAGATAGCTTAGAGCTTTTCACATGCACCTAGACGTCATCTCATTTAACATGATTGAAACTTATCTCGCATTTCTAAAACATGATTATTTACGTAATTTTCTATAAAATATAATTATTTATGTATTTTTTTTTTTAAATAACTTATTATTTAAAAAAAAAACGAAATTCCTCTCAATTATAGATGCTGTAAATGACACCATACCTCATGTAAGCACCTACAGCATCTCCAATTTGACAGAGATGCTAACTTATATCAAAACTTTAATGCAAAGCTAGTAAGCACCTACGGTTTCTCAAAAATCCAACTTTTGAAAATTTGTGATAGAACAAAGCAGAGGAAATTACTCGTAACGTGAACAACCGACAATTAATTAATTGTGAATGTTGGTAAACTCAAAATTACTCTTTAAAAACCAGGCACTGTCATAAATTCATTAGAATTGTGTTTCAGAATTCGGAGAAAATTAGAAGAAAAAATATGTAAATTTTAAAAAAATATATAGATTTTATATAAAATAGTAAATAAATCTTGTTATTAATACCTTTTTAAAAAATTTGGTATATTATAAGAACATATATTTAAATTGTATAGCTCATATAAACTCTTAAAAAAGTTTTTAAAAATTAATATACTTTTTGAATTTCTCTATATTAAGAGGATTTCATTTTATGAAAAAGAAAAAAAATTATAAAATTCTTTTCACTTAGATCGCTAGACTCTTTCTTCTTTCTTTCTTTTTTTCCAAAGTCTTTTCTTCTCCCTTCTAAATTTCTGAATAAATTCCAATTGTATCAAAATTGCAAACACAACTTCAATTTATCCTTAGTTAATCATTTTATGGATTAAATTGATCAACAAAAATTTATCAAAAGACTAAATTGTTTACCTAATCATATTAAATAAATTTATGTTATTTTGTATAAAAAAAGTGTTTAAAATTATAAATTGTTTTTCATTATCAATTATCAATGCAACATTAATATTATTTTTAAGTCAATTTTTAAATACTCGGGAGTTTTAATTGAATACTGGTTCCTTTAAACAAAATGTTTTTAAAATTTTCATTTATTTTAAAATAAATTATTACTAAAAAATAACATAGCATTTCATAAATGGTGATGAATTATAAAAGACATTTTTAGATGTATTAGCAATTTCGATAACCATAGCAATTGTTTACCCCTTTAAAGGCAGAGGTTACTCAATACACTCTTGGTAGTTTTTCCAAACCCTATGAATTTACCAAATTATCCTCTTTGTCTCGTCCAAATAATATTATTATTCAGACAAACATATAAGTGCAAAATATGATATTTAAGCATGGCTATTAACTGAGTCAGAGGTTTATCTGGTTAAAATATTATTTGAATAACCATATAGGTGTAAAATATGATGTCTATTTTAGTCATAAGTTTGTTTCAACAGTATTGTTCCGACAAAAACTAAAGAAAAAATAAATTGTGGCTAGCTAAATGTGAACATTACAGCCGTTTCATCCGCCACAATTCTCACAAATGAAGATTCTCAATCTAAACATGAAAATCAATTGAGGCAGAGGTTTGTCCGGATAATATTATCTAAACAAATTTATAGGTGCAAAAATGATATTTAAACATGGGTATTAATTGAATCAAAGGTTTATCCATATAGTATTATCAAAATAAATTTATAAGTGCAAAATATGATGTCTAAACATGATTATTAATTGAGTCATAGGTTTATTCGAATAATATTATTTGGACAAACACTATAAATAAACTGATTAATTGTGGCGCTCTAAATATGAACATCATGGCTGTTTGAGAAGCCATAATTATCAAAAACGACGGTTGGTTATCAATCAAAACATGATTATTAATTGAATTCCAGATTTCTTCATATAGTATTATCTGGAAAAACATATAGGATGCTTCTAGATTATACTATTCGAACGGATAATTTTAAAATTTTATACTAAAATTTAAGAGAAACATATAATGTGTAATGAATAACTCTCTTTAATAGCACTACGGTTTGGAACAACTATAGCCTATGCGTAAATGCAGATATTTGGCATTAGAAAGGAATCTTGTATACTAATCTACTATTAAAATAAAGAAAAATTAAGAAAAAGGTAATGAAATACATTTTGTTTGATCAATCACATGTAGTCACGGGGTACAAGCTTACTTAGAATAAGCTTTCTAAAAGACACTCGTGATTTTGCTTATCTTCATCACCAATTTTGGTTACTTGTCGTACATAGCATTGATTTTGGTTACTTGTCGTCTCATTATTTTATCTAATGCTTTTATCAAATTACGTACTATTTTGGTGCAAACTATAACACCAAAAATAAATACTAAAGTAGTAAAAGATAATAAATACAAAATATTGTAAGGAGCACAAGAATCTACAAGCAGAAACTTTGCCACTAAGAATGGCAAATTCAACCAACAGGTGCATGGTGTTCCAGCCTCCACCAACATACTTTGAAGTTAAAATTTGGCCATTGGTTTTTCATTCGATTTTCACCAACATACGATCAGCCGTGATAAAATTTTGAGAAACAAATGCACTTAGTAGGTAAGGTAGTAACTGATAAAGAAATGCAACTAAGTTTTTTTAAATTATAAATATTGCAAATTTAGCAACGCTTCAATCCTTTTGGCGATCAACTTAAGAACACACATAACACAGGCCAGTAATAGAAAAAGATTCAAACCTTGTTGGCTGGAATATGCCACTGGATTCTTGATTATGTCTGCCACATGCTGAGCCACCCATAATGAACAAGCCTCGGTTCAATAGAAACCTCAGGTGTAGTTTTCTCGTTCAATGATATGGCAATACCTGCTACCTGGAACCTGCTTTGAAATCTTTGGCTAGAATAAACTATATGTTATGTCACAATAATCATTCTATGCTCTGTAAATGAGGAAGAAAACTTGAGAACAAACAGAGATTACTAGGGAAACTTATCAAGAAACAGAAGCACTGCGAACACGGATAGTATTCAATGTCTTTATTAACAAAAATATTTACCCAGTACTAGGGTGGTTTCACTTTTTACGGCGGGGAGACAAGTGCTACAATGTCATAGAATGCAATTAGCATCTGATAGTGTGTGTCGCGCCTGTATAGCTGCTCATGTTTGAGTAGTAGTTAGTAAATGTACCTAATTCTGCTAGTTGTTACAGTCCTATTGGAACTCAGTTACTTTTAGTTAGTGTGCTAAGCAAACTATTTGTATCCCTATAAGGAGGTGTTTGAGTAAACAACTTAATTAAGTTTATGATAAGTCGTTTTTACAATCAAATAGAAAATGAGGGTAAACTCTACATAAATTTGTATAAATTGTTTCTATACGTTAACCTAAGGAACTTATGAAAATAAACTGAAAACACGTGCACAAGTGCTTATATGTCATAAGATAAGTTTATATAAGCTCTTCCAAGCATCCCCCTAAATATTGATGTAGTGATCATCCGGATTAGTTTTCCTCATTCTAATAAGATCATAGAAGTATTTCATTCACTTTTCTCAAATATTATCTCCAATTTAAAACACCCTACAATCCCTATAACTTCGATTGTTTTTTACATGTGATGAGTACAATGAAGATGATAAAATGTGAAATTACAATTGTTGTTTGAAATATCAATAACTATGTGATTGTGATAAATTACATGTATGTATATAGTATATAACAAATTATGAAATTATAAGATTCTTCTACCCAGTTGTTTTTTTCAAAATCAACAATATAATTGTGCATATCACCCTCTAAAATGCATCACTTTCTTGAGGGTTTAAACTCTGGTTTGCACTCCTGCACTAGGAGATGAGAGCTACAAAGTCATTGAATACTCTTAGTGATGATAAACTTGAAGAAAAAAAATTCACAAGTAGCATTTGATAAAGAAATTGAAGTCAGCTTTTTTAGCTGTCATTTGGCAATTTATCAATTGTCCAATCTTTTTAACTTGAAAAACTCACATTGTACAAGCCAATGGCCAAAGAGCCATACTTCATTGGTTTGTAGATGCCATATGATTCTTAATTAAGTTTGCCACATGCTCAGCCACCCATAATGAACCAGCCTCAGTGCAACAGAAACCATGAGTGTGGTTTTCTCGCTCAATAAATAAGGGAATACCTGGAACCTGCTTTGAGATCTGTGACCAGAATAACTAAGTTATGCTGCGATAATCATTCAATACTCCATAAACAAGGAAGTACACTTGAGAATAAACATAAATAAATCACTAGAAAAGCTTAAGAAAGAAACACTCAACGATAAAAAATCTTTCCTAAATGATAAAAAGAACACTCAATGTGGTTGCACTATTTTAGGACCATAAATGATTACCAAGACTGATACAAACTCAACCAAGTAATTATCCCACATACACACACTCAGAAGGAGCCAATCCTGGTCCTGGACTACGCTTGAGGCATAAATCTCCCTTGAGATGAAACAAAAGCTTTCCAGATGATAATAAAAGTAACTAAAATACACTATAACATACCTCTTCAAGCAATTGAAGTGGACCCCAATGATCATCAACACCAAATAAAAACGCGCACTGATCCTTCCTTTCTCGTAAAAATGTCCAATCTGGTGGCTCTGCTAACTAACATAGTAAACACATGGTATGACTATCAATGCAGTTAACATTGTTGAATATAAGCAAGCACTACTAAATATGCGTTCAAACTTCAAAATAAGATTTGTATGCTTGATCTCCCCGAATACAAGGTTGGGTAGAGTCCCCCATCCTCAAAATATTGCTACACTCAAATATGAAGAAATCCACAAAATCGTTGAAAATCTATTTTGCTCCTCTAGATGACAAAGGGCAGCTGAAAGTACTGGCTAAAAATCAACAAAACCAAACAGCTGTGACTTTATTAAATTAGGGGAGGGGGAATATTATTACTTATTTATGGGGTCAGGGAGGTACTGAGCCATTCACACCTAATGAGGATTCAAACTCAGCCCCCATGGTTTACAAAGCCAGTCAGTCACTGTTGTGCTAGCACCCATTAAATTATTAACATGCTAAGAAACTACAGTGATGAAATTTGAAGTTTTGCACATATCATTTTGAGTATTGAAAAATTTATGGGTGTCTTGGTAGCTTCAAGAAACATGCCCTCCCTCCCATTCAATTTTCTTGTGATAGACTCATACATATATGCTAGGAAAAAAAAATGGGCTGAAGAGGAATGGGTTAATTGGAAATGTTAAATGCATGTGAAAGAAGGAGGAAGCAAGAAAATAATTCCCGAGTTAAAAAGCCAATGACTTGTAGAGAAGGTGTCAAGGTGCTAAAATTGTGGCAGTGGGAAAATCTAAGAGAAAGATGAAAGAATTGCAGGGTTAAGAAAAGAACTTGGACAGTGTTTGATATCTGTAATTTATGATTGTTCATGAACGAATGAGCTGAAGTACATTTTACACTTACATAGAAGGTGGGGTCATAAGAAATTTGACTAAGTATACTAGAAGAAACTACCTCTGTAACAGAATAAGCTGACCAAGCATATTCTGTTATATACAGTTACAAACTAATATGACAAACATATATGACAAACAAAAAATGTGAGGACTGGGGTGAGTTGGATTATTCTGGTCACTGCAAAATATCTCCATTATTGGCAGAGGGCTGCCTCTGCTTGTGAGGAGTTTGGTCTCCATAACTTTTAATGTATTCTCAAGATCCTATTAATTTGGCATCTCTATCAGAGTTTTGAATCATGGGAGATAAGGATGAAAGAACAGAACAAAAATTTAAGGGTTTGACAGAAGGAGCTTGGTGAGCACAAAAATGATTCAATGCTGAATGGTTTGACTAGTGCATGGAAAAGAGGCATAATGATATTTCTATGAGAAATCAAGGGCTGGTGATGAGGTGCATGGAAGCGAAGGCAACAAGGAGAAGGGGGCTAGTAACAAGATGAAGCAAGGTGAGTGGTAGTGTGAGGTACTCCCTTGGTACACAAATATAAGCAAAAGCAAGTCATGTTTCATGGACTCAAATATAAGCAGATTCCAACTAACTTCATTATAGAGGACATTCCGCATGGTATGGTATATTCACAGAAACGAAGCAATTTACCTCTTTGAATTCAGTCATGGCCATATAGAGGACATTCCGCATGGTATGGTACTGTTAAGTTATTTAAGAAAAAATCAATACAAAAAAGATGCAAATGTAACCCCAGTGTGAATAAATAAAATCAGTATTCATAAAATGTAGATCTTTTATTAGTATTCCAATTAATCTATATAAGAAAAGGTATCAATAATCAAAAAAGGGAAAACCACAACTCCCTCCATTCAAAAACTTTGGTTGTTTAAGCATTTTCTTTTTACATGATTATTTGAGATGTTTATAGATATTTGCAAAACATTTAATGATTCAAATATGTGCAAATACTTTAAACAACCAAAGTTTTGGGAAGAGAAGGAGTAACTCACATGTTCATATGACTTAACATTTAAGCCCTTTTTCAATAGTAAAGCTAACCTGTGACAAGTGAGAGCATGCAGCCTCAACTGCACTGGCAGACCATGACTTCCCAAGGGATTTTTTGACAATAAACCTCAAAGCCTTAACTGGTAACAATCCTAATGATGCTATCAGGTAGCTAAGAGCAGCAGCTACAATTTGGGATCTGAAATCCTATTAGACATTAGTCATTTCAAATAACAACTCGGATTTTTAAACGAAAATTATCATTAATTAGATTTGATGATAATATAATAACTATTTGACAAAAAGAGATTAAACTATTAATACCATATTGTGTAAATCAAATCCCCAGAGGTAAGAAAAAGAATCTGAACCATGTCAAAAATGTGATATCTAAACTCATAACATCGCTGCTAGTTCGTGGCATATCTAACAAAGAAGGCAATATCAAAGGGGGTTGATTTTGAAGGGAGATGTCAAACTTACTGTGCAATTTTTGCAATAATTAACTGTGTTGTTGAGTGTGGGTTTAAAGTCAAAAATGGATAAAGTCCAACGCAATATTTCACCTGCAGAGCCCAGGAGAAATGAAATCACATAATTTACGAAGATCTTAAATGATAAATTTTATGGTTGGGTGGTATTATACGTTCATGCTTAATTAAATATGCAGAATTCCAGTCACCTTCTCTAGAGACTTCTTGAACATTTCAACAGATATGTATGAACCAATAGAGTGCCCAACCTGGTAAGAAAACTCTAGATTAGATATCAAAACTTCATTTCAGTAAAGGATAGAAACATTATATATGATAAAACATTATGGCATTGTTTGATCTATGTGGCCGACATCACTTAGTGGGATAAGACTTGTTTTTTGTTGTTATTTAATTAGTTTTAACCCTATTGCAAAATAGTTACTGGTTTCCCAATCCTATAGATATTTATGTTGTGAAAACACAGATGACAACTGCTTGCAAATAGAAGATAAAAGGGTGTAAGTTGACACATGCAAATAAATTTTGAACTCAGTATTTCTAACATCGCTCTGAATTCTTTATCTTCAAAGGGGAAAGGAGATTGTTCAATTTGCAGCAAATTGGTGTTATAGTTCTTACAACACTGCAAATCAACATGACACTAGAGAAAAATATTGAAGGTATGTAAAAGAACCCACCAGTATTATAGGAATCTCGATATCTTGCAGTTCCTCTTTGATAAAATCAATCTAGAAAAACACATAAGTGAAGACTACTGTTACACATCAATACAATTAAGTACATTTATCTAAGTCGAGAATGGAGAAAAAATGGAAAGCATAAAAGTAACCCATTTAAACTACTAAACAAATACAGGAATGCAGTGATTTGAACATGATGGAATATAAACATGCTAACCAAAAAGTAGCACTCCATTGTAGCATACTACAAGAAACACTTACAGAATGATAATTCTTATTTTTGGTTTGGTACACGTTCCAAAAAACTCAATTCTGCCACTGTTTCCATACCAACCATCAATATATCGATAAATCAATAATTTTACATGGAAGTAAAAAAAAAATGAATGATTTCTAATTAAGTTATCTCGGATGCTAAATTTATTCTAGTTTTTTGTAGTACATGTGCTCCCAATGTACACATGGTGTCGCCAGCTAGTAAATGAGTATTCAAACAATCTATTTGACTGCCTAACACTAAAACCAGCAAACGATATGTGAAGATCAAATATCAAGCATTAAATTACCTTATGATCGATTTGTTCTTGTAAAGAGAACAACCGTCCATGCTCCCAATCCTAGTAACAAAACACGGTGTAAGAAACCCACTAGTGCCACCAACAACCCAACCCACATATCAAACAAAACAAAACGCAAGTACCTTTCTTGAGTGAGAGACTTGGCCAATAGCTGATAGTTAAAATAATAATGAATAGTAAGCATATACTAGTTAATCAGATTTCCACATTATAACGAGTAGCCAAAAGGAAAAACTATCTTTACTTGCCTGTTACAGATGCAGTTTCCCCAAGAAGCTCATATAGAAATTCCACAAAGTCTTTGTAGAATAAAATAACACCTGCAGTAACCAAACACCCAAATGCTATATAAACAGCTTAATTAAGTCTTTATCATATACTCCCTCCGCCTCATAAAAATATCCTATTTAAATTGTGTGTAGTTCTTAAGAAAATAAGAAGTTAAGGTGATTTTAATGATTAAATGAATTTTATTTACTAAAATATCCATATTAATCATAATTAGTTGAGTACTTAGGTGGACTGAGATTCAATTAATAAGGATATATTAATAAAAAATATAATTAAGAAGGTTTAATTTCAAGTGACGATTATTTTAAGACAGATAAATATTATAATTGAGACATTTTCTATGAGATGGAGAGAGTGACTTGTTAGCTATTTCTATTCCAAAAGTTAAAGTAAAGTTAAACTACTGTTTTCATATAAACTATATGTTGAAATAGGATCCTGGATTCGGGCTCTAGCCCAATTGGTGTTGAATAGGAAGAGAAGTGACATGGTAGGACTCTGTTAAGAGTCAGTTAGAATATTCTCTAATTTTAAGGGAATTCCTGTTATAAAAGAGACCGGAGAGGAGTGGAAAATTCATTCAAAAAGTTTGTTAGTAAACAGTTACGAGAAGTTTCTCTCTGGTTTTGGAGTCTAGCTCTTGTTAAGAAATTCGTAGAACTCTGGTTTACATTTTCTTGTTCTGTTTTCACCATTGTACAGCCTGAAACTCACCAATTTCCATTCAATAATATACAGTTTTGTTACTTTGTTTTTACATAAGTTAATAAGCTATCCTAACAAACTTATAGAAATAAGCTAAAAACAGCTCTAGTGAATATGTCATGGGTATTTATGCCTTTCTAAAAGTCCCAACTCCCAAGTGTTTATAGCACTGACACTTCTAATAATCAAGCGCGTGTCTGGTCCAGTGTCGACACTAACACGGACACATGTGATTACATTTAAATAATTCATTTTTTTCAAATTATTATCGACCATCGCGTGTTCGGGTCTTTGTCGGTGCTAATAAGTCAATTAATACCCCCCATAATAACATGAAAAACATAAACACCCGCCAGAGCAAACTATCGAAGCCACACCAGGATTTCCAGGAACAAACAAAACATGCAAACTTGGAGCATCAGCTTGTATCTCCAGTATTTCAGACGTATAACTACACAAAATTACAAAACCACTCATAAATTATAAAATATTATCAAAAAACGCTCTCAAATACAAAGACAGCGTAACTATTACCTACTTTGACAATTTGCATAATCGAAAATTGGCACGCTTTCTAGCATTGGAAAGCAAATTCTCTTCCACAACCATATCCTCGTTCAAGCACTTCACAATAAACCTTGTCCTATAATACAAAATTGGGAGAACGAAAAACAGTGTGATAAATTAAAGGAATCGAAGTAGAAGATAAATCTTATAGGTTAAATTACGGAAAACCTTGATCCGTGTATTCTATTGAATCGCATTGAAAATGTAACAGAAATGCAAATCTCAGAAGCGATAATAGAGGGAGAGGGAGAGTGTGCAGAGGAAAGAGCGATAATAGTGATGGAAGATCGAAATGCCTTTGGAAGGTACCTGGAAGTGGAACGATGGAAGCGCGGAGAGTGAGAGAGTGTTCGTCGAGTCCAAAGTGCACGATGAGGGAGAATTTGAGAGGTTAACATCTGGATTCGATCATTTGTAACTGCAAGAACTATTTAATTTAATTATTAAAAATAAAAAGTGAAATAGAAAATAAAATGAATTTTAACAGACAAATAAAAATTGAGAAAATGAGTAATGCACTGTTTTATATTAGTCACTGTCATTAGTTTTTATATGTATGTTATACGTAAATACATTTATTTTAAAATAATATTAAATTGATGATGACTATATTTTTCTAACTCGACTTACATGAGAAGTTATTCAAGAGTTTGGTGTTAAATTCAGAGAGGAAGTAAGTTGCGTCATTCGATTTAAAGAGAGAACTTCTCACAATACACGCATAAAGTAATTACTTACTTTTTACTATAGTTCATTCTCAATTGTTTTTTTTATCATTGTTTAGAGTTTAATTCAATTAGGTATTTAATTGGTGGTGTTCTTCTCCGATATAGTATAGTTGATCTCAAACAGAACAATTATTTTGTTATCATACTAGTAAGAAATCCGTGTTATCGCACGGGTCCCGTCTACGTTCATATTATACGTCTATTAGATTATCATTTGTAAAATTTATTTTTGTTTATTCACTTAGTTAACATTTACCTAATTTCAAATACAAGCTAATAATATGCATCAATTTTTAAGTATTAATTCGTACTTATAATAAACTGTACAATTGATTCTATAAATTCAATTATATAAAATAGCAGCAAAAGAAAGATTTTAAAGATGGACATTAAAATTAACAATTTACCGTTAGTATTTCATAGATACGTTCACATCTACCCGTGAATTTATATTTTGAAAGATCTTCATTAGGATGAGAAATGTACTGCAGTTAAATTGAGAAATAAAAAAAACTCTTAGATTAATATACTTGTCTAAAAAAGTATTAAGTCTTTAATGTTAATCAAATTTTGTTAAAAAATTCTAAAATTTAATATAAAAAATGAATTTTGTAGTGATATATAATTTATAATAATTAAATATAAGACAAATATATGATTAATAGTGATAAAATATAAAAGAACATATTAATGCACTTTGAATGATTTAACCTATCATTCGACTTTCATTCAAATTTTAAATAAAATAAATAATTTATAGTTTTTATAAGTTATAATAAATAATAAAATAATTTATGTCTCTAACAAAATATTATAATAAAGACTAATTAGTTTTATATAAGTTATAAGTCATCTTGAAGAGGTTAAATAAATAACATGGCTTGTACATGATCTTTCACATACTGCATTGTTTCAAGCCAAAAATAGAGTTATGTAATGTCATGTTCAGTAGTACACATTAAACAACATGGCGTCTCTCTAAAGTAGTACTTACCAAACACAATCTTAAAAAGAATAAATAGAACTCAATCATTTCATTCTCAATCTAATAACACATATTCAAAGATAGATAAGGAATTAAGAAAGAAAATATACAAAAAGATCAAACAAATTGTTGTATAGCTAACTTGGCATCTATTTAGATTAAGTTGAACTTTTTGAGTAAGTTGAGCTTTTTGCATATGTTGCACATACGGTTTCTCCAAAGCATCGTATTTGGCATCAGTAACCCGTGTAACATGTTTTTCAAAGAACAAAAATTATATATACCTTATTTAAAAAATTATATGCCTTTCAAAGAACAAAATTTAAGTTGAGTTTTTTGAGTAAGTTGAGATTTTTTTTATATGTTGCTCATACAATTTCTCTATTGCATCGTCTTTGGCATCAGTAACCCGTGTAACATGTCTTCCACAATATCCTTTTTATATATTTAAAATGATGAATCTTTAACCTATATTTATATGTAGATAACAAATTGAGTGACTGAGAAAAAGTAGAGAAAAAATAGTGACAACTTGTAATAAAAGAATATATGTAGAGAAGAAATTGAGTGAGTGAGAAAAAGTATAAGAAGATTATAAATTTTGTATGCCTAACATGAACTCAAATCTTTTCCCTTTATTTGTTTCATCTGTGTGTGTCAATTTTCATATCTAATCCCTCTTTCACTCACATATACATTTTTTTTCATTTATGTAATAGAATTAACAAATCAAAGCGTATTATAGATTGCTTATTTCTTTTATTTTTTTAACTAACAAAAGAAGAAAAAAAGTTTTAAAAGAGAGAAATAGAAGACAATGAGGTTTAATCGATTTGATTTTTTTTACTGGAAGTGAATCCTTCTACCCTTGTTTGAATCATGGAATTGCTGGGAAGTTATCGATGAATGAGTAACCATAATCATTGCACCGCTTTATTATTAAACACCATAATTATTACTCATCCAAATCAAATCCATGAAATATGCATGAATCATACACCTTCATCACTTAATCTGTGAAAAATTCAACAAAAATCTGTAAGAAGAAGAATAGAAACTCAACACTTGAAAAGAAGAGTTTACTACAAAGCTAGTTAGACATGTTATATACACCCTACAGATCCAACAAAAAATAAAAGCCTTTCAAATTTTACACCAAATTAATTATTGAAGAAAAAAGCTAATTTAACAATTTTTTCAGCAGTTATGGAGTCACTTAAGTTTTTGTAAAAGGAAAATGAGGTTCATGTCTATTTGTAACGCGGTGGGAGAACTGACTTTGGTGTTTTGTGTTTTATCGCAAATGTTATGGTTAGCAAGTGTCGCCACCGACTTTTCTTTTATCCAAAGGAAAAGGCTGAAAAGAATAGGAAAGACCTTTGAGATTATTTCTTGAGTTCGGGGGAGTATATTATGAAAAGGGAAGGTGTTAGTATCCTTTTCATCCATAGTTATCTATGGGCTCTTAGTTGCTTGCTAGATCACTTGTTTTTGTTTGAAAATGTACTTTGTGTGGTTTTTGAAATTATTTTGAAAAGGTGTCATCGTTTAGGTAAACTTTGTAATAGTTCTCGTTCATAAGAACGTATACAAAGTGTTGAGCTTTTGAAAATATTTCATGTTTGGAAAATGTTTTGAAAGTGTTTGGTGTTTGTTTTGAAAATAAGCAAGGAGATTTGATTTGAAACTGAGCAAGCAACTAGGAACAATCTACCTACTCAAAAGTCTTTGTTCATTTCTTCCTTCCTTTGATATTGCTATCTTACCATTGATTTGGTAAGAAGTCTTATCTTTGGATGTAAAGGGACGGGCATGGGTCATCGTATAGCCATGATAACAATGTTGTAAGATATCTTAGCATTTCTCTTTGAGGGACTAAGATCATTTTGAAAGGCAACATTTTATAGCGTCATCGAGGGACTATGATCTTGTATTTGATTTGTTTTTGCTAAGACATCCCACATACATAACATGACCATTTTTGTAAAGGCAACAAAGTGGAATTACCCTAAGGGTGAAAGTATGTAGATGTGTTGATTTACATGCATTGTCTTGTCTTGAATTAGGGTTTGCTAACTTGTTGGTTTTAGTCTTTACATACAAACCCTAATTACTAGCATTTATATAAAGCGACAAATTGCGGAAAGTAAAATTACTAAGCTATTACATCATTATGGGAGAGAGTATATAAATTTACAAATGGGGTTTTGCAAGAAAATTAAACCTAATTATCTATTACAACCATATTGAATATTGTACAAGAATGAATAAATGATATACAAATGTAAAATGGAAAATGAATGATTTTTGTTTGGATTTTTTGTGAAAGGGTTTTAACCTAATTAAAGAAAATGATTAGTTAAAATTAAATAAAATTAAACCTAAACTAATTAATAAAGAAATTAAGTTAAAAATGTTTTTTAGGGCTTTTTTATGAAAAGGGTTTTAACTTAATGAAAATAAAATGAAAATTAATTAATTAAAAGAAACCTAAATTCTAAGTTAATTTTAATTTAAAATAAAATAATATAATAATTAAACCATAGTCTAATTATTTATTGATTAAAAAAAGAAATTAATTTGTTAAAAGAAAATGTTTTTTGGTCTTTTTGTTTTATGAAGAAATAAAATATAAATGAGCATTTTTTAAATATGCAAATAAATAAATAAAATATTTTTGGATTTTTTATTAATAAAAATAATAATAATGATAATAATAGTAATAGTAATAAATAATAAGGAAAATATGAAATGAAAATAAAATGAATTAAGAAAAGAAAATAAAAATGATAAAAAAAAAATGTTTGGGCCAGTATGCAAGAGTAAATGAGGGGTGAGAAATCAGCAAAAAATCCAAAACCCACCATTTGGAGGCCCAGCGCGCTGTTTGGAAACAAAAAAGAATGAAAAATGTGAAAAATACATAAAAGGTAGCGCTGGGTGTTGAACTCATGACCTCCAACACAAACGCGTGCTACCTTTGCCACTGGGGTGGTTGTACATCCATTAACTTAACTGAAATAATACATACATAATACAAAACAAGTTTCAGAAATGAACTTCATCTTCAACCTCCAACCATGGATCCTGTAACTTCACCATTTCTCAACAAAAATGAAATATGCAAACATGAAAGTTACTCCATTTTTCCATACGAATCCAACCATGTAAATATCATAAGCTATAAATCAAAGATGAATGAGAATTTTTGAAACTACCAAATTATGACCTAAATATTTCAGAAAGTTTAAACTCTAAATTCTCATAGCTCAATCAAAATAAATGAAATCTATGGACATGTACAGCTTCAGGACAATGATGTCTACATTTTATCTTCACAAATACAAGCCTAACAATGCCTAAATGAGAAGATAGAAGTTCGAAAAATATACCTCAAAACTGGAAATCGTGAAATGAGTTTGAGCTGCTTTCAAGGAGTTGTGATGATCAAGTTAGCTTCCTCAAGTTCCCAGGAAGCTAATGCAATGATTAGCTTGAGCAATGGATGACTGGAATGGCTTGGAGAACTCAACATATAATGCTCTATTTTTGGTTGTAGAGGTTATGGTAAATGGTGTTACAGTGATGAAACAGGGTCAGGGATAAGTTATATTTGATGTGTGGGAGCTTTAGGAACCAAAAGGCCAAGAAATGCACGAGGGAAATATGAGTTTGGAGGTCAAGG